CCTCTGCTTGGCAATAGCTCCTACTGAGCTGTGCCTTTGGCTTTGCCCATGTACCACTGTTAAATACACCTGATAAAAACCTTGCTACTGYACCTAAGCTGTATATTTACATCTCCACACAGATGTGCCAAATAGCTGCTGACACAGAAGGTCTGCATTAAGACAGAGCACAGAGGYATTTGCATGTGTGAGATCCACACCATGCTGTGAAGAACATCCCCCATTCATCTCCTGTGGCCTGTTTTGWCACCTCATGGAGCCAAATGGGACAAAATGTTGAAGCCTGGGTTCTGCAGGTGGGTCCACAGAGCACCTTCAAGACCACTCCATTGTGCCTGTCCATGTAAGGTTAAACACAAATACTTGCAGGATTGTGATCTTATTTGTTCCAGTAGAAATAAACACCTCTTAAGAATAAAGCCTGCATTGTGCATTTGACTTTTCTKCTATACATTGAGGAAAAAGTTCAGAGGAAAAGAAGTTATAAAAGGTTAGCTTACACTGAAGAAAACACATCAGTATAAACTCAGCTTTTCATAAGCTACCAGGGAAAATATGAGAAAATGCAATATTAATTTAAAACAGCAATATTTCATATTGACTACAAGCCAAACTAACAGCAAAGTTCATTCATAATTTAATGACAATGTTGCAATTTTTTTCACTGCACTAGATTAGCATAACTGAGCAGATTTATGTACATTGCTGAGAGCCAATGCAAAAAGCATTTGGAAGATATTTTGTGAAAATTAAGAAAACAATYGTAATCTTTCCCTGTGAACCTTTAATAATAGCTGCAAATATTRTGTTAACATGCTATTTATTTAGTAGTTTTTCTACTAGTTATCAATTATCATCTCAGCTCCCAACAGAAGTTCTGGAAKGAAGGGTGAAAAATAAACCAAATTGCTGATTTGCTTTTTAATGCAAGGATCTGTGCAGATGTGCTCTATTCTAGACAATCCTCATGGCAGCTCTGGGCTGTTCTCTGTAACAAAGACAACAATCCTGAGTTCCACAACTCCTTCCTTATCAAACCAGAGCAGTTCTCTCGTCCAGGTCACCAACAGAACCATCTGCTCTGCAGTTTGGAGACCCTTGGACACAAAGGTGCTCAGAAGATGAAATGCCACTCAATTCCACAGGATTCAGAGACTCCTAAACATCCCCCTGAAATCTGTGTCTTTTTTTTTTGTCTCTCATGCATCTCAACTCCATGCCCAAATCTCATTTTAAAGGTTGTTGAAACGTACAAAATTGCTGCCTATAATGAGATTTCCAGCTTCAAAAGGAAAAAAAAAAAAAACCAAAACCAAAACAAAGAACCCACAAGTTCAGCTCCTTTCCTCCTCATATATCTTCATATATTAGCTGTCAGGTCTACAGTGTCACACCAGTCCTCTCTCCCCACTTTCAGGAATCAAATGTCATTGGCTTTCACAAAAAAAACCCAAAAACCCACCTTCAGAAAACACCCCAGAAAATAATTTTTTTTCTCCAGAATGAAAAAAACCAGGCTAGTACAAGTGCTTGGCTTTAAACAAGTAGAACCTCCAGACCACGAAGAAAGAACACTTTGGACTTTGGTAGCACTCAGATGTATCTTATTAAGCCAGTAAAYAATTATTTAGTGGTACTTGAAATTGTGAGTCTTTCTATAATACGTCCATCAATTGYTTGGAAGAAGCTCTGTTAATCAATCCTGAAACAGCATTCTGCTTTGACTTAAGAATATGTGGCTTTATTGGTATTTCAAGCTGTTCACATTCCCATTTCATTATCTGTTCCTCAGCCATCAAGGTTTTTGGTGAAGAAGGGTAGCCCAAAGCTCAGACTGCAGACACTGGCTGACTACAGGCATTCACCAGATCATAAATGAACCAAAATTATTGCTGTGGATCATTGGTGGCATCTTCCCAAATAAAAAGGAGCACAGCCAGGTCTGGATATCAGGGGAGCAAAGCCAAAAAGACCTCACACCATGCTCCTGCAACCACAGTTTCCATGTTCGCTGATGACTGTGGGTAGAAACACTTCACTGTTGGACAACAGTAGAAAAGGAGCCTACCAAGAAGAGTTTCCTTCAACTTCATTTCAGGCAGTAATTCCCATAAGACAGTTATCATCTTGTGATGGGATTGCTCTTTTTCCTGGTGAAACAAGAGTAATATTTTTAAACAAACTGAAGTGCTATTTTGTAAAGTAAATTAAGCTGTGAAACACTATGATTCACGGAGAGGCAAAAGGGACAAATCTAAGACACTTGGCTCTGATGGATGGGAAAGAAGGTTCTCGTGATTTTCTGCAGGATCAGGCTGAATTCAGACTGACAGCACACAGACCATCAGGGATCACACCCCAGCTTTGCTTCCCTTCTCCCAGATTCTCATAAAATGGAAGGGTAAAAAAGGAACCTGGCCYATCTTTCAGGCAGTCAGCCACATAATGGACTTCCCTCACTGATCTCATTATCCATGCCAGAATAACACCTGTAAGCAGTTTTTTTTCATCAGCACAAGTAGTAAAACCACTGAAAAAAATACACCATGTCAGCCATAACAACCAAAAAAACATTGCTTCTGACAAAGCAAAGTGGCCCTTGAGCTACAGAACTGAAGACTTAGGGCTTTCAAAATCCATTTTGGGTAGGAAAAAAACACCAAAAAAAACATCAACATTATGAAACACAATGAGTACACAAAACACTGGAGCACTCCTGGACCAGTCTTGGCTCTCAACCCTCTGAAACCTTTGCCTGTGTCCATTATTAGTGTTTACTGAAATTTTGTGCCTTGGCACCAATAAGAGACTTCAGCACAAACTGACTGCGCAGCCACTGGGATTTTAATGACCAATAAATTATCTGCTGTTTCGGAAAAGCCAGTTATTGTATTTAATTTGACAGCCCCATGCAGGGTGAATTCCATAGACACAAAACAAATGTCAGGCCTCGAGACTAACGCGCATTTCCCCAGATGCAAAATACACATCAGTTTCTCTCTTAGGAGGATGTAAAAAGCTAATCCCTCTAAATTATGCAAACCAAGCAGTGAGAGAAGATGTAAAGCCTTCGCTTTCAAGAAGTAAAGCATAAACCACACTACTTCGTTCACAACTGCCTTCTAATTCTTTTTGCCTTTCCATGATACCCTATGCAACTATTTTAAGATCTGCTCCAGAGTGCCTGCAACTGGCACTTCTTAGAGGGAATAAAAGGTTCTCATTTTTCCTCAGGACTATCCCCCTGCACCCTAAACACTTATCTTGCTCCTATAGAGAGACTTGGACCATGCAAGACCTTTTCCAATCCAGCTTCTATTTAATTTTGCATCAAGGAAGACAGTGAGGGGAGAGCTTTTTCTTTTACTCATCTGGTATCTCATTCAGATCTGAGCTGGAACAGAAACAGAGGAGAACATCCACTGAACTGTAAGTGCTTCCCAGCTCTGGTTCACATCTGTTACTAATGTATCTTTACATTACTGGATTGTTTAATAAACAAGGAAGTAAGAGCTGTCCGGTGAATTCTGTCCCATCATTTCGGAACTTGATCCCTGGCTCCGACAGGAACCTCTTGGAGAGGCTGATGTATTTACACGATTCGTTCTGCCCATTTGCAAATT